ATAGATCAATACACGTATGTTTGTAGTGATTTAACTTAAACGTTAGCATCGAAATAAAATTGTATTTAATAATTAATTTCTTCAATACTGACTATCCTCTTCAGGAAGCACCGTAGCCATACTACTATTTACTTCCGTACGTAACATAAAATGAAAATCTACTTTTAAAAGCGGAACCACTCGCGTACTGAGTCAGCCCCGAGAAATAATAGGGATTCGTAACTATATTTAGTACATTAGTACTATGAATAGTCTCGCCCACGATACGGAGCCGTGTAAATCAACGCTCCACTAATGTAATACAAACTCGATACAACGACCGTCTGAAGCGAAACAAAAAACCACTCGAGACAACTTTCATATTTTATTATTCTTTTGTGCGCGGGTTAAAGCCGACTTTTAAAATCATTGTGTGGAACAAAAGGTACGTGACCCGGAAACGAACCCTTGATAAGGAGCTTAGCTTCTTCACAATCGACCTGATAATGAGCAAACCTGTATACTTCTGGTTTGACACTTTTGACCCCAGATGTTATATTTATTGTAAGTGAATTTCCATAGTGGAAATTCTGAGAACAATGGTAGGGGACAATTGTAACTCAATGTATTCGATCCCAATCTAATGCTCCGAAGTCAGATAACCAGTTAACACATTTTCATTGATATTTCTTCATTGGCTTACATGATGAAGCATCTTGCCTTTTTAATTATGTTATATGTATATCATATAATAACGCGATATATTTAGATTTGTTCACACAGGCGACGGTTACCTTTCCATGGATGGTTTGGTGGGCTGCGTGGATGTTTTCCATTTCGATTACATAAAAAATATACATTAACATATTTGCTTATTCACAACAACGTACATATTGTAGCGAAATCTATTTAAATATTTTTATTCTGTATATAAAAATAAAATGACTCCGAAATAAAAATGGTTGTATAAAAAACAAATTCATATATGAGCAAACTCTTTTAATTAAATACTGAAAAATAGGTACGCAAGTGGCATATAAATTCCACTGTATTTATACATACAGTCTCATTGCACGTAATCAATAGGTTAATGCGTAAATTATTATTTATATATAATATGCACACGTAATCGATACCTATACACCTGAAATCCTGAACAAAACGACCAAAATAAAAGCCGTTACTATTTACATGTAAGCACAATACACATTGTGATAACCAATTTAAACAGAGAACAAATCGGTTTGGATGATTCATATACAGTAGCAAAACGGCATCTTTTATTAACCACTACCAAAGCGCCATATGAAAATAATTAAATACTCTAAAATAACGAAGACTTTTTACAGTGACCTAGAACCTAGAACACTTTCAAAACAATGTGAAAGTGACAGAAAAGTGTCATTTCTGTATAAATGTAGATAATGTTTGCCGTTTTTTCGAAAAAATTGCATTCTATATGCAAATTTTTATGATGTGATATATATAAAATTCTATATGAAAACCTTTCGAGTCACTATTTTAGAATAGAATAGAATAGAAAATCATTTATTTAAATAAACTTAATTTAAGCACTTTTAAATAGTCAACAATTTTTTTAAATGTCAGTACATTACTTACTTATTCGGAAAGCTGTCTCATCACAAGAAGAATAAGCAAGAAACTTGTGTGTTTCCTTTTCTTCTGATCGTCTTTTCTTATTAATTCTATACTGTGGTGTAGGAACCGCTGACAAAATATTTCTGAGCATGACTTACCATAAATAGAAAAATTGCCAATCATAGTAAAGTACAAAGTAGTCAATTCAGTACCAACCCTATACCCCCAAGGCAAGTACTACATATTTTAATAGCATAATATAACATAGAGAAAAACAACATAATTTTCAAGATCTAGAAGAAACTGTTAACATAATTAAATGTATCAGCGTTGCTTTTGATTTATATGGATGATGAAGGCCCTAGTGAAAAAGACCAAGAATATTACTTTGAAGCTTGTCCGTTATAATGTTTAATTTTATGTATTCGTTTTTAATTAATACCAAGTCTCATACTCCTTACGCGCGGCGTGGTTAAACAACATTTTTTTTTCTACACATACTAATATAATAATGCGGTCTCTTTCACCAGAGCTTCCACCCTGAATATAAGTAAAAAGTAAGACGTAAAAATATATTCAGATTAAAAAAATATATTCTTCTTACCAATATTTAACTTTTCGCGTGTCGGGTTGATATTGATATTTAAATTATCTACACGTTCTTTAATATTAGCTGTTGTTAATGATGTAGAACTAAAAGCTATTCGTCTGTCTTCGAGATGAAATATACACTCAGAAGGTATTATAAAATTTCTGTAACGTACTTTTGCACCGAAGGGTAAAAGCGATATGTCGGCATACTCGTACATATGGGCGACCCACCGCAATGCGGCAGTGTTGCTCCTATGTACACATACGTTAATATCAAGCGGCACTCGCTTATGTTGTCAATTTATTTATATATAAGCGGAAATTTTCTAAATCAAATTGGGTAGCAATTACAAGGCAAAAATTAAGGTGGCACTTTCACGCATTAGGTACAGAAAAGGATAACACCTCAAGTGGCGGTAGAGTCAATCTGAAATATCATTCCTCACATGAACAAAAAGTACGGTCAGAATCAATAGCACTGATCCAGAGACACAAAACAAAACTAATAAACAGGTTTATACCTAGGTACCAGGGAACAAAATATAATGTGCAAGTAATAGGAAAATTAAAGATTATTATTATTAAAAATTAAACAATACCAATACAAATATTCATGAACTCTGTATTGTGCATGGACCGAACCTGAAATCATTGAATTCAAGGCATTGCAAAGCTGCTCGAGATCTTCAAGGACTCATTATTATTTACAAAATTAAAAAAAAAACACGAATACAATAACTTGTATAAAGCTATTTTGTTTAGTTACCTTTGAACCTTGGGCCATATACTTGTTCTGAAATATGTATATGATTGGGAAGGCCACGAATAAATTCCTAGCGATGAACAAAATTTTGCTGTGTCAGGCCCGGATAAACCCATCAAACTCTGGAGACCACCTATATCTACATCTATAGTTCTTAGGAAACAAATCCGATGACCCCAAAGACGAGATTAATCGCTCACCGTTATGGAGTTTCTATAGCAATCACACGACTCAATGTTGATACCGCTGCAATCATAGTACCAATTCTTGCATTGGATACTGAAGTTACATATGTAATCCAAAAACAAGTTCAATCGATTTACAAGATCTATATTCAATTTATAATATTCAGACCAATAACAAGCACAGAAACAACTCGTAATATACAGATTGTAATTTGTACTACAACTCTAAATGTAAGCGATAAACTTTTGATTATGATTAAAATAATGAGTAATTCTTTAAAATTATGCAATTATCAGCAAAAATCTATGTACATATTTATGTTTAACTAATATAAATAACTATGACGGTCAGGGTGGTCTAACTGTACACTGCCTTCTTTCCAATGGGCAAAAGTTCAATTCTTACACGATACACCATGATCTATTCGTATAGTATGTTATTGCAAAAAAAAATATTTGTATGTATCTATTAGTTACTTAGACCCCTTGTAAAAGATGACACCGTATGAATTGTCCTTGGTCATTATTATTAGACGTGTTTTATCTCCGGATTAAATAGGAGAGATAAATCTGACAATCTGTAATCAGTAGGTATAAACTTACCGCACACATTCATTTAACGCGCCGTCATAACTTCACCAGCCTATAAAAGTTATATGGAAAACCGATACCCAATAAGAACGTAACGTTCAGTTCTAATAATAAAGCAAACCCACTAGCCCTAATGGTAAAGAAAAATATTACTAACATAATAGGCCAAAAGTTATATGAAAGCGGAATAACTCTCGTTTAGTTACGCTCTTTGCTACCTATATACTCACTTAGTTTTACTTTTTTTATGTATCAGGAAGGCCAAACGAGCTATCCGGTTACCTGATGGTATGTAACCGGCGCGGCTATTTACATGAACCGCATCGAAAGACAGCTTACAAAGCAAACTGCTTCAACTGAAATAGGTGAGATCGAGGTAGTCCCGGTGATGACCATTTCACAATATCTACCTCGGTAACTGCAACCACCGTGGAATAATTAAGTTTCACTTACCCTATACCAATGAAGCGCATAAATCTATCACAGTAAACTATGCTTTAATCTACATTAAAAATTATTAAAAAAAATTTAAATCGTCTGCCTGGGTACCCTACAGTTCACTTATTTCAGCAGCCAAGAAGCACGCTCTGTTAGCTGTATTTCAGTTGTAGGGTGAGAAAAGGCAGTGAAATTTAAAATATATTTTATCCTGTAGGATAAGAAGCATAATATCTTAGTCCAGTATCACAGGCGATATCTGCTAAAACGATGAGGTTAGTGTCAATCATGTATATAGGCATCGGTTACCACTTACCGGATAACCCACCTGGTGGGGGGGGAATGGGGATTGTTAGTAATGTGGACTGATCATCTTATTGCTAGCAATGTACCATGTCAGGTTGACCTCCACGTGGTTCCCCCTGGAAACCATCGTGATAAATTCTTGGTGAATTTGTCACGATGGGCTAACTGACCTAACTTCATGATCATCTTATCATCCTCCACTGGTGCCCCGCCAGCGTAAACCGTTAGCGCAGGCGGGTGCACCATTCCATTATCACCCATAAAAAAAAAACCCACCTGGTGGGTTATCCGCTTGTTCGACATTACAAAAAAGAACTTTGCTATACATACTTGAAATGAACGCAGTAGTTTGTGTGGACAGACTCTTTGAAATATTTTGTCAGATTGCCAATATTCCGAAATTACCAAATCAATATTAAATTTAACGCTTTTACAAGCAAACACATATTAAATATCCATTTAGTCAATAATCAAGTACTAATAATTATAACTAGTATCTTATGGAAAATCGATTAAATAAGTATTGGTATCGAGTATCTGTGATTTACCTTAAGAAGAGACATCACTGAAGTATTGTATCGCCAGGGATGGACGTTAGCAACCGATTGAAGAGCCCGACGGATGCGTGCGATTATAATTAGGATTGTATTTCTGATTCCGACGAAGCTCGGCCACCACTGAATTCCATCTGAGTCATTGTGCCGGTTCTGTAGCCTTTATTTTCGTAAAACACTTAACCCTTCGCGCGCATCATTGTTGCTCTGTACCTCAGTGCTGTGCAATTAAATTTTCTTCGCCAAATGAATTTTCATTATAGTCACTTTGCGCCAATCTAATCGATAGAAATAAATGTAATTTTGTTTTTCACTTGAAATAATTAGTACGCTTATTTATATATTTAAAACCAGAATTATGGCAATTGATAACTAATTTATGACACTACACTAATTTAACAAAATACCATGCGTAGGTAAATACCCAAAATTGTTTAAGTGGTATTTGAATACAATCTAATTTTATATACAATAAACCAAATTCAACTAGTCAGTAATAATTCAGTGCTTTACAACTAAATATTTCATTAGCTTTGACACAGAACTGTAATTAATTCTCTATTATTATAAATCCCAATACTATTGAAATAATGTCGGTATCTTCATTTGAGTAATGAGTCCACTATCGTATATAATCGTATATTTACGTAAAGAAAATAAATATAGTATCTAATATCACACGGATATAATTACTAATGCATGTAAGTACATTGCATGACAATTTTCGGCCAAATTAGGCATTGTAGCGACAACGAACAGCGCCTAATTGACTATCGCTAAATTTCGGATTCAGTTACTACTTCATACACTGGAAAATATTGATTACCGTAATCCAAAGTCTACTTGTTTCTCCATGTAATTTACTATTCATTTTAGATGTAAATATTTTTAGGGATACTATGGATTTTAATCTAAACTATAAACTGAATCTATAGAATAAACTAACTGACGGTAATCAAAACAATATTAATACATAAAACTTTAGCTGCTGATATGATATGTTAGTAGCATATAATATAATAATAACGGAATTACTTATGTAAAAGATGAATCAGCATTAAATAAATAAAAATCTATCAAATATATTGTACATACTAGTACTTGTTTTTTATTTTTATTGTGAAAAATTATAACAAAACTTAATATATTCGAACAAAAATAAAAATTCAGGAAAAAATATTTTACTATTATGACATAATACAGTATTTTCACGTTTATGTTATCAATATTCCATGCCTGCTACTGCCTTCACATGAAAATATGCAAATAACAATATAAATTACTCAAATGTAACATACAAAACCATAAATATAAGGTAAGTAGGTAATGTTGACATTCTGCGATTTTTTAATATCTATTTAATTCTTAGAGATTTTGATGTCTTTTAATGTCTTTGAAATTATTTTTAACTGCAATTATTTCAACAGTTGATACTATTCGATAGTATCAACTGTTGAAATATTTTATATTATCTTCAACTTAGTTTTACTTTAATATACAAAGAAAATACATCTAAAGGAGTCTATCCATATTCGAGAATTAAATAATAATAACGAAAAAGTGGAATATATATTTAGAACATTATCGCCGTAACCAATTGCGACATTTCATATACGAGTTACAGTTTACTAATATCTACAAAAAATCCCTAAAATACTAGTTTTCCTTCTCATTTGCAATCTAAAATAATCGACGTTTAAAATTATGACTTGTTAGGCGTAATAAGTTGCGGACATCTAATTTAGAGTCATGAACAGTGTTCCAATCAACTACTATAAATTTGGAGATCTCGTGTAGAGTCGAGCACGTTTGACTCTACATGAGATCTAACAAACTTTTTGGTAAGTGGAAGGGGTCACAGTTGGTTATCACGGTTATTTAGCATAGTTTGATGGCGTCCAATTCGTATTAGTAAACAAAATTTTTGTAATATCATGTCTTTTAAAACCCCAATCATGAATATTTTTTTCTCCAAATATAGTGCTAAATAGCTTTATCTTATGGGTCTAAGATTTGCAGTTTAAATATAAGGCCCAGATTCTTTAATGAGTAGTGTGAGTCGGACAAAATATAGTTTGGAGTCTTGATATTTTGTTGCAATATTTCTAAGAAACATTGCATACGGAGACTAAAACGTAGGGGTCCATAAAATCTGCTTGCGGCATACGAACCATATAGACTAGTCGCCGCCGTTCCAGTCATAATTAGTACCTAACTTGAGATCAACTACATTAGCTAAATAGAAATAAAAGGACATTACGCTAACAAATCAAATGCTAACGGATTTCCGCAACTAAAGGCCTTGTGTATATTAACTATTCAAGGTATTATCATTCACAACGACGACGATGAATACTTTTAGAACGAGAACACTTCGATGAAACGCGTCAATCTTTCGGTTCTATTTATAGAGAGCTGAAACTGAGCGTGCAATACCTGACACATTTAAACATCGAATTTGATAGCTTTTTTTTATAAATAAAATAACTATTGTAAGATAGTTTTATTGTTAAAAAATGTTGAGTACACCTGTATATTAGTCTCAATGCATCAACATTGAGACTAATAGCAAAATTTACAAACTCGTTGACATCAAACTATAACTTTCATAATCAATTAATCCCCTAGAACTATACAAGATTGTATGAATATGTTAACAGTCGAAGATACATACAGTGATATTGCGAAAAAATGCAGATATTTCACTATAATGAACGAAGGAAACAGGCTGGTTGGCACGCGCGATTGGCGACATATTTTCCGTGCGAAGCGCAGAACTGGTTTGTGCATAAGGGAGGTGCATGTAACAGCCTCGCTATGCCGACATGCTTGCCACACTATTATGTGCCACTTACGCTCTAACTATTTCACTCCATTGCGATTTGAATGTTTGAATTACTCCAACTACAGAATGCTTCATCATAATAAACACGACTTATTCATACTTCAGAGGATATGGGCCCTCTTAAATATGAATAAGTTGTGTTAATCAAAATCATTCATCAAAAACGAAATACGTATAAAATATTTTTCACACAACTCTAGGTACACAAATAAAATTATTACCGATAACAAGATGATAACAAGTTTGATTGTCGTGAGCTGCTTATTGTTGTTTAATTTGAACTAATACCCTGTACACTGTCACGAAACCATAATTAATTGCTTTTATATTTTAATTTGCTGTAAATAATGAATGATTGCACATCATTGTTTCCATTATTATAACATCGACCAAGTAATTATTATAAAAAAAATTGCCTTTACATATTAATGCTTCTATTTCGGTTGTCAGTATATCATATTATGGAGAAGCCAGTTAGTCATGTTATGGATAATATATAAATACAAGGCAATACAGAAATAGCTGATGTGCATGTTCGAATGTATCTGCTTTTTACGACTCCTGCGCATTGGGCCTGAGGCGGGCGCGCATTGCAAAACCGCCGCGTTGACGATAATAGCTGGATCGTAAAATAAACGCGGCAACTGTGATTTATAACCGTTGTCAACGTACGAGGAAAAACTTACTTTTTTAATTCTTCGTTTTCAACGCTTTGATGATGAACTATTGTTGAATGGCAACTGACTAGAAACGGGGTTTCCGCACATTATCAATGCCATATTATACATGAAAAGTCATATAATCAAATGAGAAAAGTAACAATGAGCAATACCTTCCTAATTATTTGTTTATGTTGTAAATTGTGCAATAGAAAGACAATTTATAATTTAGAACACATATATAAATAACATTTAATCGCGTGTGGGTTGATTGACAACATTTTGCCAATGGCTAATAAAATAGGTGTTACGCGTGTATATTATTAATATGTAAAACAGTGTGCGTCAATTACTTTTGTCTGCAAAATATTATCTATAGATAGGATTGTACGACAGATTTGGTGCTATAAATGTTCTAATGTAGATATTGCAGATAAATACAAGTAACCAACAGCGACATTATCAATGTGAATGAAGCTGGCATGTTCCATTATATACGGTTAACTACTTATTAATGTCCACTTGCAAGTCATATTAACAGCATTGATGACTGTTTTTTTTTTTTAGTAATCATCAGGTTTTTTGTTTGATATTACACTACATTATAAAATATACTGATTAAATAACAATCATAAAATCATACGTTTACTCCAGGTATTAATATATCGTAAACATTGACCTCTAAATACCGCAAGACATCACGTTCCGGGTTATTTTACGATTTCAATAACAGCAAAAACATAATGTTGTTAGGCATTTAAACATGATACGTGCTTTGTAGATAATTTATTATCAGAAACATTCAAGTATCTATGTAATATGAATATTATCTTTTGATAAGATTTTCAGCATTGCAAGAACTACCGACTAAACACGTTTTAATCGTTTGTTTGAATAAACATTTAAAAACAGATGGCTGCTCTGCTCAAATGCTACAATCCTGCGAATAAAATTTAAGAAGACTTTTGTATAATATTTTACTACTAATATATTTATACCGTTTGTTTTGTCAACAATAATTCAAAGTACGTATTTTGCATATATATATATTGCCTCTTCTAATCCATACAACGGTTTTAGATAGATGGTTTTCACTATTATCTCAACGCAAACAGTATTCTTCATGAAGCCGAGGTAGGTTCTGGTTTAAATTTGGTAGTAAAAGAAACCTTTAGCATAATCAAAATTAAAAAAGTCTAAGAAATTGCATCATAGAAGGCAATATCATGTACTATTCTGAACCCTCATGTATGCTGAGTATTGCCGCTAAGGGTAAATTAAGAGTGTGACATTCAAAATACTGTATACATGCATATTCCGCCATAACAGTATGAAGATATCTTGTAAATAAAATGTGTGGGATTATAGTATTTGTTTAGCATGCCTAAGGGAATATTTAATATTGCTATTAAAACACGTGTTAGGGATACTGCAAACGTTGATTTAATTGAAATATCTACGTATCTTCAATAAACACAGAAAAACCTACATTTTTTTTAATAGATGATTATAGGAGTGATGAACTCGCCTAGGCTATATAGTATATGCTGGTGGAGAAAGATAAAGATAATATCAGGTCAGTTAGCCATCGTTGTAATTTCTCCCTAAATTAGCCACGATGGTTTTGGGGACCGCGTGAAGGTCTACATGATATGGTGCATTGTTAGCAATGGGGCTACTTTACCCATTGGGACCACGTGCAGAACAAACTGACTGGATATATTGTCAGTCCCAATTAAGATTTCTCTTGCTCCCCGATTTTAGACAGAAATACTAATAAATTTCTATCTACGTTCGAAATTAAATTCATTGTCAATAAATGTAATTTATAAGAATGGGGTAGAGGGCGGCATAGCAACGAGGCGCAACGGAACGCGGACGAGAATCGTATGCGCGCGCGCCGACTCGCCGCTTTCCCGACTTTCGAGCGACGCGTGCCGACGAACCAAAACTCGAATGCACTATCACTACCGCTATTAATTATTGTTGTATATAAATCTATATATAATAAAACGAATGTTATATCCACGATACAAGTGATGAAAATTACTTTATTTCTCAGACTTACCATGGTTAAATGCTTATCCAAATAAGTTACAGTAAAATGTAACAAAAAACTAACTAATATAAGAATTACATTTAGTATTCTACCTATCTTTTTTATGTTTGGAAAGTCTTCAAAGATTCTAAATTCTTCGGATGGTAAATAGTAAAAATTGCCTATATATTATATGAACATTATACTACGGACATCATGTGACGCCCGCGATATCGCTAATGCGTCGCCCTTCCTAAGAGGACGTTATCATCCTCCTATCTTGTAATCACTGCATTATTTTACACTGAACCGAAGCACAGCTTAAAAAACGAGCTTCTTGACAGCTGAAATAGGTGAGACTATGGTTACCACATGACGACTTTTTACAGTAGGTACATTCTACATGCTTACAGTAGTCTTAAATTGAAAACCTACTCTTAAATACATAATTATCTGTGTATAATTTACAATACCATGGTAATTACGTATTGTGGTCATATTAATTGAATAAAAGGACGTTTGTTGAAATAATTTTATGACATCGTTATGTATTGTGAATTACGTAATTTGCGGTCTTGACGCGTTTGACTGTACTAAGAGATATTTTACGTTATTAGGTCTACCGCAAACAAAATCTCAATATTGTACGCGATCTGTTTATACTTATGTACATACTAACTTGATTGACTAGCTAATCTGTTAACACACCGCCTAAATGTCAATTATGCCAACATGACGTCACGTCTGTAAGCATGAAAATTTTATGTAAGTGTAATAAGCGATGAAAGTTCTACGTAATTTTTATTAAATCCATGAAAACTGTTTTAATTTAATAGTGCAGATGGATTACGAAATACGTGTACAGGATCTCTTAAATTACTTCCACAAGTGATGAAGTTCGTTGCAAAATACTAAATTATAATAATCGATATCAAAAGTTTTGCATATTATTATTATATTTATATTTACATATTATTTCTATTATTATTTAAACATTAATAAATAATTGATATGGAATAAAAAATTCTGTCGATTTTTTAAAAAACACAGGTGTGAAACTTTGTCACTGGTCAAAAACACATCTATTAAGGTGGGTACAAATAAATTAAATGTGTTTGTTACAAATTTTTGGAGACTAGTTTAGTTTAGAAAATCCATTGATAACTTGTGTCAAAGTAATTCGCTACTACAGCCTTCATTGGTTGAAATTAATTAATACCTCATTCTTATCTGATTACAAATTGATCGATTAGAGAAATTTATTTAGTTATAAACAAATTATCCTTCTCTCAGAAAATTGTATAGGAACAATTTAATTCGTTTTGTAGTATCATCATAACATGCATCCTATATGGATGAACACATAGGATTGATAAAAGTAACAAAATTGTTGCATGTGTTCGTATGTAGCGAGGAAATGATTGGAACGGGACAACACGGAAGTTCATCAATCTATATATTCTTCACATCAGACGCGGAAATATGCAATATTAATCTTTCATTTCGTCTACGCGTTGATTAAATTTAATGGAAACATTAAGAGTATGATTTGTTCATGCACGTACGAAGTTTTGCTTTACGTGCGTGTCTGAATTTTGGATCGCTCGCCATCAAGAATAACATTCTCCTGTAGAATTTTAGGAACCTACTAAATATGACATTTCCTGATGATGTTTTATATCTTCTTAAAAAATACTGGTTTTGTTGCTCTGTTTACAAATAATGCATTTATGTTTTGGTAAAGTCTACTTAAAATTTGCTTTATGTACATATAATAAAATCGTGACGAATTGATAACTGTATGTGTATTTATCTATTCAATGAATGAGCTAGATGAATTAGAACGTAATTTTCACAGAATATGTTTTTAAATATCATAAAAATAATATTTCAGGACCTTTACACAGCGTCAAAATACAGCCCAAAGGGGAGAACTAATTTTTCGACAATTACTTTCTAGATCTACCATAGAAACTACTCCCCATTCATTCACATCAGATCAGAATGCAGACGTCATCAAAAAATGAAGTGCACACGATCGTCTTGCCCACGTGTAACCCAAATCTCCTCAAGACCAGCGCAATGGCCAATATGCTAGCGACATACCCTCCGTAATGGATCTCCATGTGATACTATTTCCGTAACTCCTTAGTGAATTCGCCACGATGAGCGAAGTAACTAACTGACATGACTTTGCCATACTATCAGCGAGGCGGTTGAAGGTTCAACATTCAAATTCAAAATGTAATTTGTGAAATTGTAATGAAAGATGACGCGCTAGTGACGTATTGCGATTGCAGTATGTGTCATCTCTCCTATTTAGATGATAGATTACATTACAACTACTAACGTAACACTGACGTCACACTGCTCGCTTCGTGACGAATCTTTAGACCCAGATTTATGATGGTGGACTCCCTTTCAATGACGCGTCGCGTGATAGAAGAATGGAACATCATTCCTCGAAGTACAGTCAGAGAACGTCAATTACAGAAGTATGTAGACATACTCAGTGTTCGTGCCGCTTGTCAGTTTAGATTCATTGACAATTCTTACGGCATCACTGAACCGAATCAAAACGTTTAAGATTTTATTCAGGTGTTTAGTATATGCAGGCTGCACAGAGCAATTCTGAACGCGTAGGGAACAGGTTCACCAGTTAAGAGTAGTAAGAGACACCAGTTAGAGTAAAATTAAGTTCTGGATTTGTAGTGGTCACAATGCCAAAGATGTCTATGATTAATAAATTTGACTGAGCGTGATTGTTTTACAGATTTTGTTTAAAGTATCGGATCCTATCTTTTTTGTTGGTTTATTATAAAATAAATAATCCTTGATAAACGTAAGTATTGATCCGAATAATACTGAGGTAATAGTTTACCTTGTATTCTACGTATTGTTTCTGTAGAAATATAAAAAGAACATTTAATTTGTAATATATATATAGGTCTCGACGACTCTACGGTCTTACTTAATAAAATTGTTAATTTACTTGCTGCAAATGAAGCTAAATCTAGAAAATGTAGCTAACAACAATTTTATTGTCTATTGTATGTCTGATGTGGATATACCTAAATATTGTATACATAGGATATGATATTCATACAGGTGGTAAATACAATTAGGGTGTTGATAAAATTAACATCAAGTGGGTGAATATGTATAATTGTACATGTACTTCAGTACTACGTACGGAGCAAAATGTGTATATACGTAATGTACCTACGTGCACGCGTTTATCTATTTGTAAATCGATTTATGTTGCGATATATTTAAATATTGAATAAACATGGAAAAAAGTATAGTGCATTATACTAATGTAAAACAGGGACAAATACGCATACTAAGATGAAATATAATAAAATCATTTTTCAATAGCATTTAGCGATAGCAATATGGGGAAGTTCGCGTATTCGATTCCCGCCTAACCGTCTAACATAGACTAAACATTAATTTGTATATACTTTATCATTACGAACTTTGAGGCCGTCAATATTTGAATTAGGGTACTAGTTGATGTAAATTGGAGAGGACACAACAGCTGTTTTGTATAAAATTTCAAGTTTATACTACAACCTTTAACTTAGAAAGAATGTTAAAAGGAAACTCTGTCACGTGGTAAAGAATATTATGTAGAGTAGATAGAGTAAGTACTTTAAACTTGAGACGAAATAGATCAATTATATTTTTGTATTACTCCAACTAAATTTTACCTAATAATATGCCTTATAGATGATGTAAATCAATAATTAAATTATTGGAATGATCTGCAGACGTGCGAAATACGCGCAGTGTCAACATCGTCGCTAAAGCGCGCCTCCGTCGCAAGGACACCGCGGGTCGAGCCAGCCGTCCACTGTCGTCATGCGCAGGTAGCGACCAGAGGACATGCCCATTGTTTATCGTTACTGATTATTATGCCATGCCCCAACGCAGTGCTTCTCGACCGACGCATCGAGCTATCGAGCTGCTGCGCAAAAACTCGATACATCTCTTAACAATCGGACAATAAGGCCTATTTTTAATCACGGTCAGGTAGATCACCATTTAAGCCTTCAAAACTCAAGTGAGCATTCTATTATTTCATATAGATGCCGCTCTACTTTGATCATTGAACTAAACATCAGAACGTCGCAACTAACTATCACACTCGCAGTATCGCGCTCGATTGAGGACCGTTACGTGAAAACGGCAAGCGTGCGGGGCGGGGCAAAGAGCCGATACAGCGAGTGAGCGACGGTGGCGCCCGAGCTCGGCCGATCGCTGAGTGCCGAGACGACGACGTACGAGCGGGGGCAGCGGGGGTGCGCCACTTATCGCAGCGAGCTGGCAACGCCGCGCGGGGTGGGAGCGCCCCGCGCCGCAACCTCTCACTCACCGTCGCCGGCTCGCTATCGCCATCATCCAGTGTTACCTTTGACGGTCGAACGTGTGGTTGTTCGTCGTCAGTGACGTCGGTATCGACACTCGTATAACACGTCTATAATGTTTCGGTGATTTCAAAATCGGAATCGTGAGTGAACTATATGTTACAATCAAATACCTGGAACACAGTGATACAAACAGATTTTACCCTGGATTTGGATGTTTATCGATGAAAAGTGACATTTTGGATATTTGAAGAATTAGAAGTGCAGTGGAAATTATTTAAAGGATTGCAACTAATAAAGTGACAAACATTGGATTATGAACGGATGTTAATTGAAGTGAACTCCAGAGTTCTGGTCGTGCAGTGGTACTAAAAAAGTAAATAGTGCACTTACAAATTTTTGTGGTTTGTTTGTTGTTATTGTTTTGAGAAGATAAAAAATAGTTTTTCACTTGCAAAAAATTCAACTGACATAATTTAAAAATCTATAGTGATACAACATCGAAGTACTTGTCTAAAATTTAACAACAAACAGCCACCTGTCATAAAATACACAAGTATTTGCCTCAGCTGATCGAGTGGCGGAATCTACGAAACGTTCCTCGTGGAGGAGTTAAAATGCAGATTCATAGTACAATCTCAATAGAAACAGTGATTAACGTGATTTGTGAATATGTACGTGATAAATGAAATGAGTGATGGAAAAAAATTGTACCGAAACAAAACTTCGGTGATTTTAAACAAATACTAGTGTAAAGAGAAACTGTTTACACATGTATCTATCTTGAAGTCCTTACACGATGAACGTTTCGAGGATTGTCGATTAAACAAGACGAAACTATTTGCACTTTACGAAAACACAAGTGCATAATAGTAAAAATAACGCCAACAGATCACTAGCCGAGTTCACTGAGTTATTGTTTTTTGTTGGAGATTTTTTATAAATCGGCCGTTGACCTGTGGAACGTTTCAACATTTCGGGCTACAAGATGCGTCGTGTTTCAGGGGGTGAATCGAAGCGACAGGACGGCGAACTCTAGCAGCACCACTGGATACGCAAACCCCGCCATCACCTACCAGGGAGCATCAGCTCCGGATACTGGCAAACACAACCCCCATCAAGGGACAATTGGTTACAGAGTCAACACCCCTAGGTAAGTGAAGTTCTAGTTTTTTATTTTGTAGTCTGAACATAAAATATTTGAGTGATTGATGTAGGTAACAGTTAAAAAATAATGTTAGTTAAATAAAAATAATAAGTTTTGCTAATATTTCGATATAACGAATTTGGTTTGCAAAAATAGCCAAATATAAAGGTATATTTTTTTTTAAATATAATAATGAAGAACGATTTCTTAAAAAAAATACGTCACCTGTTCTGTGTGATGTAATTTAAACAAATATGTAATAAAATAAATCTGTAATATTTATAAATTTAAAAAAAAATATAAACAAAATTATTATTATCATATCAGAGAAGTAGAATCCTAATTAGGTAGTTACCAAAACACGATACCTACTTAGTACATACGTACTGTTTTTATCTTATCCGGAACAAGTTTGTTTACATTTCTACAAAACGCTGAAACGTGACTCGACTTACCTGAGCCACCTTATCGTAGTTAACAAAGCAATAAAATCAAAAATATACCTACTCACTAAGTAAATACGTAAATTAAAATTATTGCTACTTAACGCTTAATTATTTACACTAACAGATATTTGCTAAAGGCATAGTGATGTCGTAATTATCTGTGCAAGGTTTTTTCGTACTCTGATATCAGACCCGAGAGATGACTTTAAAAGTACAGAAATAGTGTGACATTGTCGTCCGCGGTGCGGTGCAATTATAAATGAAATGTGCTCTTCCATTCACACGCACAAACGCTTCAGGGCGCCCAGCACCCACACAGACGCACTCCATCGCACGCACACTAGTAAACATCACGCACACATTCATAGAGCCGCACTTACACAGCTCCCAAAGGGAATGCATGCGGTGACTGCACTTAGCACTTGCGATAAATACAAATAAACAAAATATTAGTCTAGCACCTAAATTAGACGTCAGGTTTTTCAAAGTCGCATCTTTAACTATATAGACATAAATATAAACCATAATTGAAACAATAACCGTTTCCGATAATTATTATGAACTACAATAATATAAAACATAAAAAAACGAAGCAGGTGCTAAGTCGAGGCGCTCAACGGCTTTGTTTTGTAGTCACCTTTACAAACGACATATTGTTGATGGCTGCCTGCCTCTATACAAAACCGATAAGTAAATAATAATAAAACAGGGTCTCGTAACGAGATTGTGTGAACAGAGCACAGGAAGTCGACTTCAGTAGAACAAGGGTAGCACAGCAGGGAGATAGAAACAGTGTTACCAACCAGAAAAAAAGTGCACTAAAAGTTAAAAACAAATGTTAATAAATAAACAAATCGATGTCAAAACAATATCCTAATAAATCACTTAATGTACAACAATATAGGATTTGTATGTGTAGTGAGTTATCGTGGGAAAAAACGACAGTTTTGAACAGGCGAGGCTGGGGGGCGGATGCGCGCATACAACATACGTTAAGTGCACGTGCTTAACGGGGTTGAACGGATTCATTCCTTTATGATTTTTGATTACTGATCTTATTCAGCTACGTATATAAAGCATTATTTTGAAACAGTAATACAATCGAATAAGCCAACAATAATACTCTTTGGAGAATTGTCAAACATAATTGCCACAGTTACATTGGAATACTTAAAATATTTTTAAATAAAATACGTATACGGAGTGGTGACAAAATAAAGTTAGTAATCAATTACATAACTTATGCCCATATAACTTATGCGAAATGCCAAGCGAAATGGTTAACGCTCTTTTAAACGTTAAAAGTACAAGAAGTTAAATAGTTGTTTTAGTTAAATAACACTTGAAATGAGCTGGTTTAATTTAGTAGACAAATAAATTATTATCAGTGAGCGTCGTAATAAAGCCCCATATTGACGTGACCGGGCCCACTTACCCTAAGCCGGCGACTCGGGCGCGGCGACCCTTCCCCACTCATTGTGCCGTATTTACCCCGGAACGCTCGCCTCCATTTGTAACCCCCGGAATCCGCTCCTTGAAGCATGATTCATTCCGACCCCGCCGTCAATTGACTAAAATAAGATAGAAATCGAAATATTTAATTTAATAATTATTATTACGCGATCTTTCGTAAACCGATTTCAATTATGAATTTTATATGAAATTTGTTTAAATAGCAACCAACCAGGAAAAGAAGTAATATGCTTTAGCATAGTGGCAGGAGGTCAAATCGTAGCATACCTGAATTTTCTTTTCTTATTTTGATTTCACTGCGTTATTCATAAAAAAAATAAAAAACATTTGTAATTATATACAAAACTGTCATAATATGACTATCAAGTACCTACCTAATTAGTCAATATTTAATTAATTACACTCGCAACTAATACACAACGCCACGTCGAACGTCGATTCCAATATTATCGCAGCGTTAACTCTATTACATAGAGCAATGTGCGCACAAGCCACAATGTGAAGTGGCATTTAAATGGGGGTGACCAACTGTCGTCGAAACATTGGGGTGGAACACGCCATGGCTTCACGCTACCACGATAGTAATCTATACGAGGTTCACAATTAATGCCTTATTTAACACTCTGCTATTAATATGAAAACGTGTTAAACAAAACAAATTAATTGCACCATAACAAATATGCATTTGTTAATGTGTAAAACAGGCTTCCAAATAAGACTCAGTACTTTTTAATAAATGGTTAAATGAAAGGCAGATAAAAAGTAACATTGCGTTGGAATTCGTATTTGTTAACTATTGATTTAATACGTGGTGATCTCCACTGCCAATTAACCAGGAATTCAACACGTCTGCGCAGCAATCTAAAATTATCTGCAGCCTATGTATCAAAATACCAACGCGTTACTCGCACATCTCTCAATACTATGCCAAACACCTTCCAGCTTCTCAAAATAGCGTCGTACCTACTAATTCATATTGATTTATTTCTGCTTTCCGAACGATTAAAAACGAAGTCAAAATTTGTATTTAATCTCGTTAACTATTTCATCACTTAATATTTCCTGCACCGAGTAATAAAACTACTGAACTTTTTAAAATTAATTCTAAAAATAATTCGATGAAAAGCGACACCGAGTCTGCACGTACACACATTTTGCTAAAAGATAAAATTCCATAAAGAGCGAGTTCCGAGAATGGTTCAAAGGAACGCCTGCGACGAGTGGTCGCATTCAAAATCCCAAATATTTTGAACAGGCAGTAAGTGATTATTCGGATGTGGTACCTACATTTACAAAAAGTGCACCAGGATACAGAACACACAGATTTTTTTGTCGGCTACACATTTTGGTCGGCAAAAAGAAAAAAAGGCTCAGACAAAACTATAAAAAGAAGTGTAGGTCGGGCCGAGTTTACCTAAGGAAGGACCCTTGTAAATCATCTGCAGTGTCGATGAATAGCGACGATGTCGAGTTGAGCGTTGTTGACTCGTGTGTTTATTGATTGTCGATGCTACTAAGTATCTGTTAAGCTTTTAAGAATACTCAAAGAACTGTAAAAAAGCCGATAATTGTAATTCCTGTGTCTAAATATGTTGTTGACATTATCATTCAACAACTCGACAAATTCTCGTAATAACAGCCAAATCAGTCATTTAGCTGGTTACAATCACCATCCGATTGTTAAAAAACATATCAAACGTAATTTTATTTTAAAAACCACCAACAGTCGTGTACCGGTTTAAGTTTCGCTTGTTTATGTGTGTAAGTTTATATGCATTAAAATAATTTTATACAGCTGTACAATAGCCCAATATTGTTGCACCACTACAAGCAAGCATTGTAACAATGGGTAGCCCGTGCGAGTGTTTGTCGTGCATTTGTCGAATGGGAATTATTAGGAAGGGCACCGGAGGCTCGGGAATTCGCCCCAAAAGCAGTTCACATGAATCGGTCTCCCACTCCGGCGTATACAAAAAATCGAACACATCCCGAGAGAAACACAGGGGTAAACAGCGCGTCACTATACGTCCATATTGATTTTTGCTCTCATTGTTAGTAAAATAATAAAATCTGTGCACGTATTAAAAAAAGATCTTGCGTCGATAGAATTTGGGTTGAATATTGAGTCTTAGTTTATTAATAATCGAAGCGTTAACGTGTGGAATGTTCGGCTCTGCAAGGCCGCCTGCAATAGAAACTGTTCATATCGTGAGTGAAATAAAATTAACTAGACCGATTTCACATTCAAAACCTACTTGCACTATACGTATAGTGTAATTTATTGTTTATAGATCTCCGGAACTAGATACAATTCAAACAAAAGAAACTTTCATATATCGTTTTACAAAAATTTGCGTACTAGTACCTACTTACATCTACACGTGCCTTCCATTAGTAATTTTACTTCAAAATAATGTCTAAATAATCATTAAATATCAATATCAATATCATTAAAACAATATCTACTCGCATACTTCTGTAAATGCCAAAAATCTTTATAGGGAGCATCTTTATCAATGATAAGCAATGTTTCTTGACTAAAAATCTAATTGTATCAGCTAAGGCTATTTAATTATGTATATAGAAAAATTGGTTATCCGTACAAAAATATTTTAACTGTAAAATATTTTTTTTGTTGTTAGCTACTTCTTTTGTAGTTAGTTACTACTTAAATTAGTCTAGAAAGTATTGAGAAATTGTTTCACTTACCTAGTAACCTAATTTTCAATTAAATCTTAATTGAATTGTAATTTTTAATTAAGATTAGGTGTCAGTAGAAATGAATTCGTTACAAAAGCACAAAAGTAAGAATCAAGCCATCCAGGCTATACTCAAGTTGTCCAATAATACCGCTATTCGTCAAATTTTGCCACAATAGATAAATATAAATCTGCACACGTCGTGCCATCTAGTTCTAAACTTAGTAGAGCTTGTATATTTAAAATGTATGCATAATGTAAAGCACTCAAATCAATACAAACAATTATACTCATGAATACAAAATAATTGCATCGTGCGGGGAATCAAACGACTCCGCGACCTTCGCAGTAAAGCGGTGTGTTACACCACCGAGGCTGTCATAAATCCGGGATTTACACTAGTGGTGACTATACCGGTATTGTTTGTTTACAGCGGCTATGGGTGCGCCGGCGGTCCGGGCGCGATGAGCGGCGGGGGCGAGAACGCGCAGTTTGGCGCCACCGCCGCAATGGTCGCCGCCGCCACCACGGCTGCGATGCAGGACTCGCAGTCATTCTCGCAGGTGACAATTAATATTTAATATATTATAATGGAAAGGTGAACCCGCCTGCTCTAACGGTTTATGCTGGCGAGGCACCAATGGAGGATTATAAGATGAGCGTGAGGTCAAGTCAGTTAACCGCATCGTGACAAATTCACAAGAATTTATCACAATGGTTTCCTGAGAGAACCGCGTGGAGGTTAATCTGACATGGTACATTGCTGCAAGATCATCTGTCCACATTACTAACAATCCCCTTTGCCCACTATTTAATGTGTTAGCACTTCTACCAAGTAACGGTTACAAAATTCAACTCGATGGTGACAACACTTTTTTGTTTATGACTGCTGCTGTATTCTCGGTTAACTTGTCAATTAAATAAACAATATAAGAAGGGCTTTTTATTTTAAACATATTAAGTTATAAAGTAAAATCATTATTAATAATGTCTATCCAAAATAAAAAAAAGTCACCACATTCAAGTTACAATACTGTTGCTTCGTAAAACTATTTCAGTAGCGAAGAATAGGCTAAACAGTTTCTAGCCCATTCTTCAAAAGAATTTACAAGTATTCTGTGTTAAATACTATAAAAAAAAATAACTGATATTCGGTATAAGCTATAATAATAGAAATATACGTTTATAATTCAATTTCGCTAGATATTATATCTATACGTATATATGGCTAAATGTCGAAATTTACTTAGTATTTGTAAAATAAAACAAATTATATTAGTTGTGATACACACACAAGCGATACTAAATATTACTTTCTACTTTTAAAACAATGAAAGAAAATTTTTGTATCGTACTTATAAATCATATATGTCTTATTGCAGATGCAGAACAACATGACGATGGGAAATCCCCAATATGGCGCGATGAATGGTTACGGCCAACAACGTAGTCATAACCCAGCAATGACAGGCATGGGTATGGGGGGCAACGGAGGCATGAACGGTATGACCGGGATGGGTCAAATGGGAAACGCTGCCATGAACGGCATGAACCCGATGGCGCAAATGGCCAATATGGGTATGCACGGAAACATGATGTCCTCTCAAATGGGACCTGGGCAAATGGGCGGGTCTGCAAAAATGGGCCCAGGCTATCAAAGGCGACATACACCTTATCCATCTGGTACCATGTTGATGGGACAGCGAAAAACGCAGTATATGGGTGGTCAGCCTAGTTTTGGTCCTGGACAGTATCCTGCAGGCTATGGTGGAAGACCAGGATTTCAGGGCCAATATCCACCACAGCAGCCCCTGGGACCTACTGGAAACTTTGGAGCAGCGATGAGAGGAACTATGAGGCAGACAACGCCTCCATATTCCAATCAAGGGCAGTACTTTAACGGCGGTGTACCTAACCAATTTCCACAACACCAAAGTGGAAATGGACAGTATGGTGGCCAATATAGTGGTCAGTTTGCTCAAGAAGTTGTCATGCGAACAAATATGAGCTACCAACATAGTCCTGTGCCTGGAAATCCCACGCCACCTTTAACGCCAGCTAGCAGTATGCCTCCATACATAAGTCCAAATGCGGATGTCAAACCTCACTTCAATGAGCTTAAACCACCTATGGGCATGCAAAGTAAGTTTCCAAAAGAGATTCAATAGAATTATCTATACAAATTGTTTATATATATTATATTATGTAAAATTTAAGATGGCATGTATGTCTTTACAGATGATGAGCTCCGATTAACATTCCCTGTAAGAGATGGTATAATATTACCACCATTTAGATTAGAACATAATTTAGCAGTTAGCAATCATGTATTTCAATTAAAGCCTACGGTCCATTCAACGTTAATATGGAGGTAAGTGTTAAATGACATAGTTAAAATATCAAAATTTGCATTACTTTGAAATTCTTACTTACTCCTGGAAATTGGGCATTTCTGATACTATTTTATTATTACAGGTCGGACCTTGAATTACAACTAAAATGCTTCCACCACGAAGATCGGCAAATGAATACAAACTGGCCGGCAAGTGTTCAGGTGTCAGTCAACGCTACGCCATTAGTCATAGATAGAGGGGAAAACAAAACATCTCACAAACCATTGTACCTGAAAGAAGTGTGCCAACCAGGCAGAAACACGATACAGATCACAGTATCTGCCTGCTGTTGTGTAAGTGTCTTTATTATTGCTCATTACTCGTTAACAGTATGCATTTATACCTATTGTACAAATAGTAAACATTTGGCGTTCACACTTGTTAAAATACTACTTTGGTAATATAATACCTATGAATAATATTATTGTTTTTTTACAGTCACATTTGTTCGTCTTACAATTAGTACACCGGCCGAGTGTCCGAAGTGTCCTCCAAGGATTATTAAGAAAGAGATTACTAACGGCAGACCATTGCATTGCTAAAATAAAGATGAACTTTAATCAGGCACCAGCAAATAACAATGGTTCGAATACCGCAAATGACAGGGACAGTGTAGAACAAACCGCACTGAAAGTGTCGTTAAAATGTCCAATCACATTTAAAAAGATCACGTTACCGGCTCGTGGCCACGAATGTAAACACATACAATGCTTCGACTTAGAATCGTATTTACAACTCAATTGCGAACGGGGATCGTGGAGATGCCCAGTATGCAAGTATGTAAAAATTTAAATAAATTCGCAGTTGTTATAAATTCACACATTTCAGAATTTATACTAATTATGTATATCCATTACAGCAAACCGGCACAATTAGAAGGTCTGGAAGTCGACCAGTATATGTGGGGTATACTCAACACGTTAAATAGCTCGGACGTCGATGAAGTTACAATTGACAGTGGAGCTAATTGGAAAGCTGCTAAAAATCCTACAAGTTCAGGAATAAAGGTAAATAATCATAATTACTGCTATAACTTACATGTATAATTATAATAAACCGTATTTTTATAAATAGTCCTATTTTCAATTTATAATTTAAAATAACATTTTTAACTTTCAGCAAGAGGATGACAGCAACGACAACAGCGTAGGAAAAAGAGGCAAAGCTGTATCACCTGGATCAATGAACATGCCAACAATGAACAACTGGGAAATGAACCAGGCTTTATCACCATACCTTCCGCCTGACATGAACACTATTGCTAGTGGCTCAATGATCTCTTCATACAACCAAAGTGGCCAGAACAGAAACTCGGGTTCAAACAACCAGAATTACGAATTCGGCATGAATAATGGACCTGGTAGCAACGAGTTTGCTGGCAATGGACCACTGTCACACTTAAATGAAAGTGTTAACTCATTAGATCCACTAAATGCGATGGAAAAGAGCATTAATGAGCAGGTAAGTTGTTTAAAACATGTCTTATCAATATTTACAATTAATATAATTTGTCCTAAAAACATTTTAAATATCAAATCGCATTAAACACGTGACAACTGCTGCTCCAACAACATTGAACTTCTCTTTCAAACAAAATAATGGAACTATCGACTGCAACCACAATGACAAAGCAGCACACAACTGGCACTTCGGGTATCACAAAATAAATTGTGAGGCACTGATATCAGGTTTAAATTGCTAGCTAATAAGTATTTGTGTATCGGGTAGATGCCGCATACTCCGCACACACCGCACACGCCCGGCTCTGCGCACACACCGGGCGGCGGCGGCGCGCACACACCCGGTTCATCGCACACGCCCGGCCCGCCTTCAGTAGGACACAGCCTCACCGACGTCGATATACCGGGAGATCTCAATTTTGATCCCGCTGCCGTCATCGATGGCGAAGGCACCGACAATCTCAACGTGAGTATTTTTAGTATCTTCCATAAACAATAGTAAAATATAGCAAAAACAGTAATATATACAGGTATAATTTTTATATCAATATCATTACATTATTTCATAGTATAAAACAAAGTCGCTGTCGCTGTCTGTCCCTATGTTCTTAAATCTTTAAAACAACGCAATGGATTTTGAAGTGTTTTTTTAATCGATAGAGTATATAATACATGTACATACGCGCAAAGGCGGACCGAGTAGCTAGTTTAAAATAAAATAGTTTTTATTCCTATTTTATTTTATACTAGCTACACATACGTGAATTACTTATGCATAGTATTTTTGAAGTGAATGCTTCCTTTATCTCGTATCATATAACAAATTGATCTCCTAAATCTCTGTATAATAGCAAAATAATTATAAACTGCAATTTTCTACTTCTAGTTACTGCCAGAAACGAGTGTAGACCCAATGGAGCTGCTATCCTATCTAGACGCACCGGCGCTCGGAGAGCTGCTGGCGACGCCGCCATCCTCATCGTCGTCGGCCGGCTCGCATCCTCCCCGCGCGCCATCTTCCGACGATCTCCTAGCGCTTTTCGAGTGAACATCCTCGCGACTCATAGCTGATCGAATACAATGCCTGTGCAGCGACACATGTACGTAATTGCCGCGAAAGGAGCCTTCCCCACCGTGATATAATTTAAAGTTTTGTTGTTATTACATTTATCGTAATTATATTTAAGCTGAATGAATCTTGTAATGTTACATTACAAAATCAACCTTCTTTCGTGGCCCAATAACAGAATTTGGTTGAAATGAATTCAACGAATAGATCGTCTGTAACTGCATTCTTGTTGCACAGATAATTTAATCCTTGATCAGCTTAGGTCTAGTAAGGCATTGGCTCAACTCGCTTTTAGGCCAGCGAAGCCCAAAATTGTGATACTAGATTTTAGTTCCTTCTCCGTTTGTGGCAATGTTAAACATAGCATGTTGAAGTCTAACTAAATGAATCTCTGCCACCTTATAAGGTGAATGTGTCTTCAAATTGAATTTGCAATATTTAATATTGTCGCACAAAACACCAGTTGTTGAAACAACGGCGTTGGAGAACATTTATTAGCATATAGGTAAAGTATTGAGGCGAGGCGTTCGCCGCGCCAGCCATAGACACTGCGGTGTTGTGCATGTATAGTTCCTCGCACCGCCGCATACGGTGGCGTTAATGGGCTCCTTATATTCTAAACTCTAGCATAAACTGTAATACAAATTTTCATTGAATAATTCAATTTCATATTCGACATGATATAATCAATTAGATTTTCATTTTATTTGTGAATAGTTCGCCGGTGTACATAAAGAGGAGTTATTTTATTTGTGCTAGTTGTTTGGTACTGTGGGCAATGTCGTCGCGATTTGTAAATATAATGCAATAGAGCCGCGCGCGACAGCTCGGAGGCATTATGAATCTTATAGTTCCTATTTGATGCGAGCGAACTATAATGTTCAATTGCCATTACTGTAAAATTCCTTGACGTTTTCGCATATACTGCATTTTTAAAGAGTAAGTAATGGTAAGATTAGTGAGTACAGCACTACTCGCATAATGGGTGATATAATTAATCTAAATGAACTGTTTGAAATTGAGATATAAATTGTAACAAATAGGTTACAAAACTATATTGTAAATGTGAGTGCAAAAATGAACTCTGTTAAATTATTTTGCGTTATGTGAAGCGAAGAATGATAGAAATATATTTTAATTTCTATATAAATTGTAATGAACTGTATTATTTGTACATATAAATCTAGCTAAGAATATTATATTACCTAGTTATATTTTAGAACATGGCAGATACTTATATTGACGGCCAGTTTAGTATAGTATTACTAAAATTAATAAAAATCTACACATGGTTTTACATGTACATAATTCAAGATACCATAATATACAAGATTACACGCGATCAGAGTACACAAGAATAATAACGGGCGAATATTTTGGTGCGTTTTACTTAGTGAACCGACTTCTAAAACTTCATTTAACTTACTCGACTGATATTTTTTTTATTTTTTTGTTTGTATATTACGCACGTTTGTAAGTTTCGCCAATTGTGAAGTTATTATAATATCAAAATTAAAAGAGGTCGGATTTCTTTGAAAAAGGAAATTATAATTTATTGTAATTAAAATTAGTTAATTTTTACAATATTATTAAAGTTAAAACACTAGTCTCACTTACATCACATTATTTAAATCATTTTTTGTTTTTAAACCACATTTGCCAATTATATAAATTATGTATGCAAATAATTGTTAAACTTTGCCATACATTTTGATGGAATGCTCATTTGTGCTCTGATACGCTTCCTTCACAAGTGCAAACATGCAAATATACATACATACATTAGTGAAATGTCATCAGTCTTTGCTCATCGTAGTTTTGTTTCGTAATATAATTATTCCTTGTAACAAATTGTTAAAAATACGGAGTTTAATCAATATAACGAAACTATATTTTTATTGCATATTCAATTGTTTTGTATGTATTCCTTTGTTACAACAGTTTACGCACATTCACAGAGGCGGAATAAAAATGGTGATGAGCATTGAAGTGGCAAACATCTTGTTTCACATATTTTCAAATGTATTTTTTGTTTCCTTTTTCTTTTCTTGACAACAAAACGCTATTTCGACATAATTCTGGGAATATAAGTTTATTTGTTTACATGGAATTATTAAGGCGCAAGATCGTGGATAGTGGAAATTTCTAAATGGAATTAAGTTCCCATAAAATTAAATCATTACTCCATAATTCATTTAGATGTTGTAAATTTTTCTTACATACTTATACTGTTAATAAAGTTTAAAGTAACAGTTTATAAAATATCTCTAACTTAGAGTTGTATGTAAAACTGTCAATCCTTTCACTAACTTATGTAAAAATTGGTGATTTGCGCATCTTTACTTCACGCTATGAATATGGACGCCTCTTTAGAGTTAGTCAAACTATTACGGAAACAATAAAATTAGTATTATACAAAGCCGTGGTCAATTACTCAAACAAACAGATTGTCGTTTGTGTATTCGTATCAATTAATACTTTATTTAGTTAAATAAATAGATACATGACAATATTGTCTGATTTATTGATCACAGCTTTAACATAATATACATACTTTTAAGGGACCTTCAATTCCAGTTAGCTAGTTCTATTTATTGTACTTAGTGAATATGACTGTTGGATGAATCATCAGAACGATTTTTGTGAGACCAAATAGTAATTTTTTACACATTTACCTGTTTTAGGTAATTTAAATAACGAATTTGTTTATATAAAATTTAAAATATCACAAAAAATGTATAGCATATCACATTTAAAAAAAAAACACGAAAATATTGAATGATTCATCCACAGTAGTAAATTATTACAATATATTTTGTTGATTATTATAATGAACTGCTGTGGAGTAGTAGACTTTGTGCTCGTACAAATATAAGATTCAGCATTTGGAAATAAGTGAAAGAAGAATTCTAAATAAGTTAATATGCAAGCCATGAGCCCGAGTTCATGCGACGCCAAACTGTACTGTAGTATAATACATTTTCAATTTATTGTGAACATTTTAGTGATCCAGTTGGTTCGAAATTCATTTCGAAATGTGTAAAATGAAAAAAAATCATAACATTTTTATGTTATTGAAAATAAAATGACTTTAAAAATTATGTCTGCATTTTATTTCTCTACACCAAATTTACAGGTTTTAATTATTATTAAGTAAATGAAATATTTCTATGTCAGAAACAAAAAACTATCCACATAATGTTCTGTTATTATGGGAAAATAATCTTGTCAAAGAGTTTTAAGGATACCAACACTCTTTGACAATATTGACCAGCTTTTAGAAATTGTTTATCAATTCAACAGATAAACTGATAGACTTATTACTTTAAAAAAGTATTCAAATTCAATGGTTATCTTAAATAAATAAAATTGGCGACCTACTGGCATGGCCTGGGCTACCCATGAATCAGTATTCAGCACAAATCAGGAGATGCCTGTCAAATTAACCTCTAGTATCTGTGTTTTGTAGGTAAATTATAGTATTTATATAAATTATCGACCTGCACGGCTTTTACACATGTATTTCAACCAATAAACCTTGATTCATCTATTATTTATCATACCTAAACCTTTATCAGAATTTGCTCTCTTGCAAAATACAAACTGCATGAAAATCCATCAAAGTTATTTTTGAAATTTATTGGAACATTCAAGATGTTTAGAGTCAGACTTATACTGAGTGACATCAACTCACACTTTTTAGTACTACCGCAGATAACATAATATTACATAGTACTACTAATGTTTTCTCCGAAGTAACTGTCAATTTAAATGGCTATGTAACATTTTAGCACCCTTTTGTCCTAATGTAGTTTTTTATATTTTGTAAAGCACCCTTATTCTCCAACAAATGTAGGCCACTTGTCAGCTATTGAATCAAATAGTCACATCATGTCTCTCTGTCATCACTCGATCAAAATACTAAATCATACCCAGACTCTTACAAGCGATTATCATTCAAATTATTAATACAAAAGTGTAAACTAATAATTATTAGGATAGGACCTAGAAAGGTTCTATCATAATAAATAATTATCTCTTGTGTTATATTCTTTATCACTATTCGTGCCATCCAGTTTGGATAGTTACAGCAATTAAGAAGAACTGGCATAGTACAATAACACTAAGAGAGACAATAGTTAACAATCACTTAGTAACAGTGTTAACTGTTACTAAGTTATCTATACCTAAGTTATCCTTATGCTGGAGTTGGATAGACATTATCAATTTGTTACATTATAATTAAAATGGTTCAAAATTAAACTTGTCTATGCTGTATCTATAAAAGAAATGTAAATTGTAGTAAAGATTAGCCATTTTAAACAAAATTAAAATAAAGCTTAGAGAAAATATACCTAATATAGTGTCACTTGAATAAGAGTAATATAACAAATTAATTAAACTGTTTAGTGAAGAAAAGTTCTAAATTATAGTATAGGAATTAAAACAATATATAATAAATTATTGTGTATAATAATAATGTTGTGTACAGTTGTAGTCCACATTGACTTCATTTTGAAAAGTGTGTGTTGTTTGATTTTTTGTTATGTAGAAATGAATAAATTGTATAGTACAATAGGACAGCTACATTTTAACATTATTCATACTAAAAATACCAATGTCTGTGCCTTCTCATTTGAAAACTATATACATAATAACATTTGTAATATTTCTAAACCGTGGAAATATATAATACTATGGATACAGTCATGTACTTAAATAATAAATCTCAATATTTTAATAGTGTCAAACAATCTACCTCAAATATTTAGCAATTTTAAAAACAAAACATGAAGTATGCATATCCTTTTAAGAATATTTATGTTTTACCTGTGACTAATTTCACTATTTTGTTATGTTAAACAGATAAAATTTCTAAAATGAAATTAGCCATATATACCCCTTATAACATTTGCAATCTGCAAGAGAAAGCTGCATCAAAATCAGTTATGGACATTTCAGAGATTCGCAAGAACAAACAGATAGACAAAAAATCTTCAAAATTAAATTTTTGATGTACCTTATATCTACTTACATATAGATATAGTGCAACACTATTAATTTTGAATTACAAACACTTCACTTCAATATATTATTTGTAAGCCTTATATATGTATAACTGAATCTATAATAAAGTATAAGAAAACAAAGTTATCAAATAATTCTGCCAGAAATATTAATTAATGATATCAATAATGGATTCTTATTATTATTTATAGACAGCTTTTAATTTCTGTGGTCTGATAGTTCAGCACACCACTTTACCTTCATAAGATTTACTTTAGTATGATTACAATTGTTTATATTGATCTCGGTTTTTTCCATGTATTTTGAAAAAATATAAGTATTCAATTGTTTCTAACAGTTGTCTAGTAACCATAAAACAGGCTCTGCTTTTTTATTTTTAGTATTAACATTATTATTATGAACCTTGACAGATCATGTATGTAAAAATAATATGTAAAGACAGTAATGTAAAAACTTGGCATGAACACTACCATGTAAAATCAAAGAAATAAGTACTAATTGTCTTGCATCAAATCAAGAAATTGTAATAAAAAATGAGATCCAATTGTAGATAAGAATAACAGATACTAACATTTTAACTCTGTGTATCAGTATACCATACTATTAACAGAAAATCAGTAAGCACCACAATATCAGTTACTTTACTCTTATTTACCAAAATCAGAAACAAGCAGTCAGAATCATTGTCAATCGACATCTTTATGATAATTTCAAGTCATTAACTTTACAGTGAGACATTGCATCTCTGTGTATTTTCTACCGCATATATCACAGAGTGTTTTGAGCTATTGCTTGAAAAAATACCAGCTGCTGTACAACATCCGTAGAACTGAAATACCATCCCGATCATCTGTCGGAATGGCAGTCCTCCATCATGTGTGTTTCCAGAAACTTTTGCCATATTTATTAATTTATTAAATTCAATCAAATATCAATGCTATTAAAAAAAACTTGATTCCATTGTGATACCGCAGTCACTGCATAAATATATTTAAATCAAATTAGTTGTAACAACTTTAAAAAGGTTTTTTTTTTATTTAAGTAGTTGATGTTACTTAGGCAAAAAGTCTTAGACTTACCAACTTTGCTCCTGGATTTGTTCGTTGTGAAAACTGAAAACAGAGATGCTGAATCCAACTTGGCGAAGGCAGTTTTAAAAATAGGCGTTAACTATAATAATATGATACGATAAAGTTCATGCTTGTCATTGCTTAATCAATCAATTGTGACCACTAACGATTTAGGAACCAGTAATAATTACTAATTATTGATTATTGCGATTTAAAATTTGAATTATTTTAAATTATAAACAAAACTTTAAGATAATAAACAAGTAGATACAACTGTCAATATCCGAGAAAATGTTACCAGTAAATATATAAATCATGCTATAATTGAACCAGAAACTGTACGTACTAAAAAATATTGGAACAAAAATTTAGCTTATAGCTTATACCTACATAAATTTAAGTCCAAATAATTTTTAGTTGGTACGTTTCCAAGTATACATGTTATATAATGTATTAATCACATATTATGAAAATATTATGTACATAAAGTTTTATGTGTCGTCTTTCTGGTGTGTTGATGAATTTATTAATGATACTATAGTTTTGTTTAATAGTGTCTAATAAATAAACCTGTCATATTATTAATAATTTAATAAAAACTACAGAAAGACATGCAAACACAAATTCATTGGGTAGATTAATTTTTATTTTATATATTTTGGATACATCCTCTTTAATAATATTTCAATTTATATTGTCATGATATTTTTCAAATTTATTATTTAGCTCAATAGAACTATTATTATATTTATTATATATTATATATTGTTTTAAAATTTTAACATCACACTAAGAAATTACGGTGTAATGTCACCTATAAAAGACATTATTATTACGGTGATAAAAATGATGCCATGTTTTTCCAAATGGTAACATAGGCCAAACAGGTCAGTGCAGAAATAGTAAGAGTCAATATAAGATTTATTTTGTACCATACAGAAACCTAAAGGGTGATTAGGAAAACAATGCCAATACTATATCGATACAGAAGTATGAAAACTCGAAACAAATATCCGAAGTAATTAAAAAATATCGGAAAATAGAAATATGTATAAAATTTCCCCTGAAATAAGGGGCCAACTTGTTCAAAAAGGTCCGTAATATGTTATTGCACCCTACTTCGAACATTATAGAATTATACGCATGACAGACATATATTAACGAAAACTTTGTTTCAACAAAAAAATATTTTGTGTTGTAGAATACAATTAAAATTAGCAGTCCACCACGGCTAGCTAATGAATAAATATAAAAAAAGAAAAACAATAATAAAATCAGAATAAACAATTGCAAGTCTACACATTTTCATAAATGTTACTCTATTATTTGTTGTTTAAGGTTTAGACATTATTGTCTTAATTTTCATGTTTTCCGGTTAAAAATAAACATTCCTCAATATGAATTTGGCAATCAGGGGAACATCTTTTTATATCTTATACGTACAAGTATATATTTTTTTGTATACAAAATTTAATTTTAAGTACTAGATTTTCTATAGCAGTATTGATTATTTGTTTTTGTTTTGTTTGTAAACACAACATAAAATATTTAGAAATAGGTGCCTTCCGATAGTGTTCCGCTTGCATATATATGTTTTATTCATATCGGTAACATTTTAACTAAGTTGATATGACGTTTCATAACGTCAAATACGATTTATTTCATCCGTCACCCAAATCATGCGATAGCGCGTGTAGTGTGGTAGAGCCTTCAAATGCCACGACGCACACAAACATTCACAAATTACGTTGTAATTTTTACTCACATACATCTACTTCTGAAGTATAGGAACCTGAATGCAACACACAATCACACGAAACAACCTGCTCTCGTCTATAGGCGCGCAGATTATACTTTACTGGGCTGGACAGACAGAGATAGAGACAGTCGATTAGTTGATAAGCTATAGGTTGGTGTTGTTTCTCGCCGCCGCCGGCTTGAACTACCGGTTCAACGACAACGATCGAACGAACGCCGTAAAACGAACATTTTTGTATTTTAAATTAGTACAAATGTACAATTTTGTGTACCTATTCAAGTTTTGACAATGCTATGTGCGTAACAAAGTGCACGGTATACCTTAAACCCTATTCGTAAGTGCATAGCGGTAATACAAAACCTGATTTTATGACTTCGATGTAAGTATACCTACGTAAAAGTGTTATAGAGTGACGTTCCTTTAAACTTGTATATTTTATTTTGACTGTTTTGTGTTGATTAATATTGTCTTCTATGTCTCATCGGACCCAGCCAAAAGTCAAAGGTAAGTGCTAAATTTAAAGTATTGTATTGCTAATAAATTTGTCTTGCTTAATGAATTTCTATTATCAGTATTGCGTTGAGTTCTTAGTTTTGGCTTTAAAGCTGATTAAATATTCCCCAAAATTCCATCAAACCTGACTAAAAAAATCAAGTTCGAAACAAATAAAAAACTGCATATAGGTATTAACTCAGAATTTAATTTGTTTTATTTGTTTTATCTATTATGTCTAAACTGCCTACTGTTTTATTGCTGTGAAATCAACGTCATGAGTTCTTTCATGAGGTAAATAGATATGTAAGGCTCATATAATCATCTGCTCTAAGTTGAACTATAATTTTCCTTTGTATCTGCCAGGGAAGTGATTACTAGCTAATAATAATATTGTGAAATGTATCTTCACGAGGTCCTTTAAATTCTAGAAACTGTCGTAGAGGCATTAACGATAATATGCGTTAATTCAGGATAACCTACCTACCTCATTATGTAGTTCTGATGCATTACCTCAGCTACCTCTATTTTACGAGCTGTGGTTATGAGTAATGTAATATACCTACTACCTGGTCATTATTATTGAGTAGATATATATGTATATTTGAGAGATTGACTATAATAATAAATACCTATTTCTTTGTTAGAACTTACTTATTTTTATCAGGTGAAAATCCTCATGGAGACCCCGGCCCGGGTAAGGTACACGGGTACTGCCGAACGGGCCGGGTCCTACCGGCTAAAAATCCCAGGGTGTCCTCCATTCGCTAATGGTACCGGGGTCGCGAGTACGTACAATGAAGGACAATACATCTACATAGGCGTCTCATGTATTGTTTCACATAGCGAAAACAACATTCATTGCAACCTCCAGTTTATTAATGATCTGATTTCATCCCCATCTTTGAGTTTAACACACTTGTTCACTCTAACGTAAATCACACCTCTTCGCTTAGGTAGTGTAACAATTCCATCAAAATCAATCATAAATCAATAACAAGATCGATCGTTTCAATACCACAGAAACAAATATAAAATGACCTAAATATATAGAGGTAGATAGGTAAAACTATCAAAACAAGAGTTTTACTGTCACCTTTGAACTTAGTGTTCACACGCACACAGGCATAGCTACTTAATGTGTCTTTTTCACAAATGTCGACTGAAGTAATACTTAATGTTAGTTAGTATATTGCGACGTTATTAGTAATCTTTTATCCTTAGCCACACAGGGTGCACCCTGTTTCTGATGTCGGGATGACGGAATATCTTCGCCAAAATAACATACTTTGCAAGAGCAATCATGATTTTTTTTTGTTATATTAGCCATGAATTTGTAGTTTAATTAGATAACCTACGATACCAATATACCTAGTCAAAGCCAAGTGAATCTGTTAGTACTGTCAATAAGCAGCCTTTCACTCGAATTGCAATAACCGATTAAGTATTACCTAATAATTTTCATTAGTCTTCTGACTAACATTTACTGCAACAAGATATGTTTGAGAATGTGGCTTGCTTAGTAAGCTGTTTACCATTTTGATAGATGTGGGAGTAAATTTCAGTACACGGACGTAATCCAGAAATACTCAGCAATTATGAGATGATATCACAGAAATCATCATGAATTTGGTAGACTATAATCTCATTTGTAAAAAGTCATCCTCAGTCAACCTCAGTCTCATCTATTTCGCCAAGCATCTTGCTTTGCTATAGAGTTCAGATTAGGCTGTGAAATTATAGGATATTAATTTTCTGAAATAACAACGCATGAGTGGTATTGCGGATATTAGATAAAAACCCTAATCTTCGTAGTGATCTATTATCATTTGAAATTATAGTTACATAAAAAAAAGGACTCATTTTCTACAGTTAAAGGGCACCCCTTCAACTTTCAGGGTATGACTGTATGTGATAGTTATTATTGTACTAACTGTATACGCGTGGAGGTGTAGCAGTGGCGGATTATAGGATGAATAAGATCTCGGCCCAGTTATCTAAATTCATAAGTCATCAGCTCATTATTAACTAAGCAAAGAATTATCCACGATGGTTTCCCGGAGAGTCAGCATGGAGGTCAACCGCACGTAATACCTACATTGAAAGTATTGGTTCACTGGTTCCAATTACTAATGATCCCCTTCCTATTCTGAAGACATTCTAGACACGTAGGTCAATTAAGACAACCACATTATTGATCATCATGCTTTAATCATGCAAGATTATGAATCCTTGAAATCAAGTTATAAAAATACTACTATATATATATCACTAAGGTACCTACATAACATAAGAGAGACAATCGTTTATGAAGTTTAATATCACCTCTTGTAGTTTTTATGTGAAACATGGTACGCATAGAGTCTGTTTATTTACATACCGTACGTAATCTTTTTTTAATGACAATATTTATTTAATTATTATTGATATGTTTTCTTTTTAACCTATTAAATTAATTAATTATATTATTCAATTAAAACATACCAATTGTACTTCGAGTAAAATTCTCTGTTTAGGCTATTTGTAATTGTGAACTTCATATGAAATAAATCGGTTTGTTTGGCAATTTCATAAATAATATATAATATTTACATGATGTTAAAGGTAGAGTTAATAATGCGTATGACTATAAAAGGTTGCAATATTAGCAGATTACAAAAAACAAAACGTTACTTAAAATATTAGAAACGTGATAGTCGTGCGTAAAATTTTCATCAGCAGAAAATTATGTCGAAAGCGAAAATACTTTGTTATAGATAAAGAGAAATTGCGTAACAGTGTTCATGAATGAATTACTTATACGACAATTTGAATAATTATCTTTGTATTAAATATAAATCATGTATATCTTATTTTTATAAACTTTACAATAAGACAATAAATTTGATAGATTTCATAAAATAATATTAAGGTTTTATATATGTTATTTAGTTTATAAAAAAAATATTAATTTTTCTCAATAAATTTATCAATGATGCTGGTATCGGGTGCATACTTTACAAAGAAACATTTCTACAAAACAATGATTCATAATTTGAGTCAACTATGACGCATCGCAAATAAAACAAAGACCTATTTTAAATGCGCTTTCACATTAATTACCGTTTAATTAAATATATCACTGATGAGATGCAGAACTTGAAGTACGTTGAATTTATTTTAATCAATATACCTACTATGTTCTAAAATATTTTTTCTCATGCTAATTGTCAAGATTAGTGAGGCCATATCCCTCAATCCAATTAAACATTTCTGAAAGAATTGTATTAATAGGAGAGGCGAAATATTAAATCACCATATGGTGATTAGGTGAAAGCCGTATATACGGCTGATGTATTAAAATAAAAGTTAAAAAAGACTAAGAAATTATATCAGATAAAAATAAAGGTAGGTCTTGTCATAGAGAAGTGAAATATAAGTCTGGTAGATATAAATAAAAACGATATAATGTTATTAAAACATTACATTTGAAATTATTTAAAATAAATGGTTGCTAACTAACAGCATTAATTTTATTCAGAGAGCACACAGTATAACCAATAGCTCTGCTCTCTCATAGAGCGTCGTCATTATGTATGCAGCACAGGCCGTCACATGGACGGTAGGACGTTGCACCCAGCCCGCCGGTCCCTTCCTACACTTGAGCTCATGCCTTCATGGCTGTGCCACTGGTTCGCCATATCACAGATCTATTATTGGCTTTTAATTATTCGCTATGTTTACCCGACTGCCGTAGAGATAGGAGATTGTTATGTATGTCTGGATATTTGACGTAACGTGTAGTCCTAAACGCCATGATAGGATGGGATGGTTTTTATCTCGACTGATAAATGACTCTATGGTCATTATATGTATATTGTATATGTATATGAAATAAATTGGGTGGCCATTAACGGCAAATAAATAGCAAATTTTAAATAACGAGCTAAACTATAAAGAATCTATTTAAAAAAAGATTTTATAAAATTATAAAGTTACTTTAATTAACAAAACTTTTATGATTGAGTTTATATCCGTCCAAGACGACTACAATTATTGTTTGTGTTTCAGTGCCCAGACTTGTCTATATATATTAGAATAAAAAACGTATACATTTGCCAACGACTATAATTAGTGTCAGAAACTATCTACTCTATACTCATATTACAGTATCACTTTATGGTGATCTCAAAAAGCTGGCGTGGGAAGGAAGACTGCCAAAATGAAGTGGGAGTAGGTGGGCCATGTATCTAGGGTACATTTGCAAAAACAGAAATTGTAGACCAATATCGTCACTTCCTAGAGGTTTCAAAATGTGTACCTACCTACGATTTGGACTAATCTGCTAGAAAGAAATTGCTAAAGGTCGTTTCAAAGTTGCCACAAATAAGGCAAAGAATTAAAGTGTTCATTAAAAAAGGAGAAAATTGTTACAATTTAAAAAATGTTGCGTAAGCTGCTTGTTCATGGCTGAACACTACAGTTTATCCCATAACTTACCTATCCATTAGTGACAAATTGTTGAAATTATGATTGTAGTTAGTAGTTTTTAGTTTTATATTAAGTCTTATTCCATTTCTTGTCTATATGGTACAGTAATTTTTATATATATATTTTAGACATATTCATTTATTTAGTAGTAAAATATTTATTTAGTTTGCGAAATAATTCGCATGGATATGCGTGCATGTTAATTTCGTGGCTATACAGTTATAAGAACAAAGAATATTCAGATATAATTTATTGTAATAGTACCACATAGAAATATAATTTATTATGCTTCTTCCATTTGACTGTTAAGTCACGGTTGACTTAACAATCATTTTACCGTTCAACCGATACTGTCCGAAATAGGAACTTCCTGCCACGATTCAGTATTAATCTAATTATTAGCTCAATTGATAATCCCTATTGATCTTTTACACCCTTATAAGTGCTGTGCAATTTTGTGTTTATAAAGCATCCAAAGACATTGATATGATCAATAAGTTTTACGCTCGTTTTGAAGCGATTAGTTAAATATTCCATTATTA